TGCTGGAGGGGAAGCCATGCAGGGAGGAACTCTCCCCCCATCCCTTTTCTAGAGAGCTACCCAGTAAGAGCAGGTGGGAATACTGGGGAGATGCTAAGGGCAAATAGGAGGTGGAGGACAGGGTGGTCACACCCTATGTAGGGCAATGTGATTTCGTAGAATGTCAGAGCTGGGAAGGGTACCTGTAGCATGGAGAACGTCGAGACCTGAGAACATAAGACTATCAGAACTGGGAGGGGACCATATAGTCTGAACCTAGAATTTTAAAGATGAGGAAACTCAGACCCAGGGAGAAGGACAACTGTGCCCAAGACTATGAGCCCTGGCATTCCAGGGAGGTGAGCCCCCGGGGGTGGTACAGACTGCTCCTGCCCTGGAGGGACATGGGAGGGGGAGGTTGAAAGAACGGATGGAGGCCATTCTGATCGAGGCCATTCTGATCTGAATCCCACAAGGCTGGCTCTGGCCCCTGACCTCAGCTACAGAAGGTCTCTGTGTCCTCTCCCGGGCTAGTCAGACCTCCTTAACAATCCCAACTCTTGATCTTGTCCCCCCCAAGCCTGAGTGCGGTGTCTCCCTTGACAAGTGGGATCTCTGGGCCTTCCCGCGGGCTGCTGCCGCCACCTGGTGGCAGACCTCACGTGCCCATCAGTGCCACTTATGGTAAATACGGCCAGTCTGGCCCCGGGGGTGCTCTTTCTCCACTTCCTCCCCAGAACCTCTTGGGGATCAGGGGGGAGGCTGAGGGGGCAAATGCAAAGATTAGGTGTCAGTGGAGCATATAGGGTGACCATTCTTCATCCTTATCCACACTTGGCTGAGGTATTGAGAGACTGGGGGAGTAGAGGGGGTCACAGCCTGGTCTAAAGACAACTAATAGTCTGGATGACTAGATGTAGGCAGCGGAAATTGGATCGACCCCAGTCAGTGCAGGTCCTTTAGGATGGGGGGGGCAGGTACAGAGCTAAAGGCCAGAAGCTTAGGTGCCAAAGTTGTATGCAGAGGACTGGGACTAGAAGTTAACTTTAGAAGCTGAGGGGCAAAACCTTGAGTGATGAGGTTGAATTTTAAGGACTAAGGGGAAGTGTAGAAACAGAGGCTGAGGAACAGAAGTGAGGAGCTGGGGACAGTAGTCGGCAGTGGAAATCAGAATGAGGCCATCAGTTAGACTCAGCATTGACTACTTGAAAGGTAGAGCTCTGGCGCTCAGATGGGACTGGGGAAGAGAGAAGAAAAATTAGAGGAAAGGAGACTGGGCGAGATTTCTAGCCCAGGGGAAGGGGCCAAGCCCAGCACCAGCACTCTTCAAGTGCTTCAAGAAAGAATTAAGAGGCGGCCAGAAGGCCAATGACCCTGTCCTCTTTCTCTGGAAGCTTAGATAGGGTAAGGTTCTTAGGTAGCTTCAGCCGAGATTCCATTTGAGGAAACTGAGGTGCAGAGAGCTGAAGGTCTTACCCAGAGTTAACCAGCCATGGCACCTAAGATAAGAACTCAGGTCTCAGACCTCGGCAGAGTTTCATGGACCTAACCTTTCCTGGGGGTCTGGGACTAACTGTCCTCTAGGTGAGCAGGAAGCTGTAGGGGACTTGGCCCACCACCCCCAGGGGCAGAGAGACCCAAAATGCAGGAAGCCCCACAGAGCAGCCCAGACCAACTGTTCCCCTTCCCTGCTCCTCTTCTTTCCTCAGCAGTCCAGCCATTGCCCAGGAGATGGAAAAGGAGGATGGGATTTGACTATGGGGTTCTGCTGGTTGGCATGCAGAAGATATGGTGTTGCCTGGCATGGGCAGCTTCCTGAAGAAGGTCTTCTTCTGCCTCCTCTGCTTTAAAGTCCCAGGCCCCAGAGCCATTCCACCCTCACCCCCTCCCCTTAACATAGCTCCCCCTCCCCCCTGCATTCCTCCCAGCAACAGGAAACCCCAGATCCAGCCCAGACTTCAAACAGCTCCTCCCTCCTGGGCAGGGAGTGTGGGAGGAGAGGGCAGAGAGCAGAGGGCAAAGGTCATCTTTGTTCCTGCCTGAGGTGATGAGGGACCCAGGACAGGGGGAGGGGGGACAGGAGGTGAGGCTAGAGGTTCCCCTTCTGAATTACAAGCTAGGGGCAAGAGTGTACTTGTGAAAGAGCAAATGTCTGGGTCTGCGTGTATCTGTGTGTACCTAGAAAAAATATTGACTGGGTACCTGTGTTATCATGAATCTGGGTCCCAGCTCTACATCCATTTGCTTTTGTGTTGATGTGTGTGCCCATGAGAGGCGTCGTGGCGCTTTGGAAATAACAGAGGATTTGAAGCCAGAGGACCTGAGGTCAAATCCTGCCCTTTGCCACTTATTATTTGTGCAACAAGTTGTAAATCCTTTGTGGGCCACAGTTTTCTCATTTGTAAAATGAGGGGATGGGATCGGATGACTTCTGAGGTCCCTTTCAACGCTAAATCTCTGATCTTACTTCCAAAGCGTATTCGTGTATATCCGTGTTGCTCTGTGTGTTTGTGTCTACAGTATAAGCGGAGTGGTGTCCTTCTTTATGGGTCTCTCCCTTCGCCTCTCAGAGTTTCAAGTGCATGTAAGTGTGTGTTTGTAGCTGTCATCATACCCATTTTCTTTTCTTTTCCTTTTTTGTTTTTTGGCAATCAGGGTTAAGTGACTTTCCCAGGGTCACACAGCTAGTAAGTGTCTGAGGCTGGATTTGAACTCAAGCGCTCCTGACTTCAGGGCCAGTGCTGTATCTGCTGCACCATCTAGCTGCCCCCCATATCCATTGTCTGCACATGTCCCTGTGGATGGGTATCTGTGCTTCCGTGTTCACAGTCCTATCAAGCACCTACCCCTTTCTCCTTTCCTTTTCCCTCGCCTCTCCCAAACCTTGACTGGTGGGGGCCCATGTGGGGATGGCCATCAGATTCCTACCAGATTAGGCAGATCTCAGCAGCTGAAAAATGTAGAGGTCCAGGATCTCCCCACCTCAAGCCAAAGGTTGCCAGGCAGACATGGAACCCTGGGGAGGACAGGGACAGCATCTAAAAGCTTGGCAACTTCATACACTTGTAGATAGGTTGACCATTTAGTTCAATTCTCAGAGGAACCACGGCTCAGAGCAGGGAAAGCCTCCAAATGGATGATCTCACTTCCTTTAGCTGGAAGGTGCTGGAGAGGACAGGCTGGCAACCAGAAGCCCGGCGTCCCTGTGGTTTTCAAACTCCTCAGAACCCAGGTAGCTTCTCCATAAGGGGCAGTGCCTCTATCAAGAGTAATGGGATGAGGAGGGACTGGAGCGATGGATCTTTCCCAGTTGGAAGAGTGGCTACGGTGAACCCAGAAAGCAAGGTTACAAGGTGCAGTGATCATAATGGCCACTAGAGGGAGAGCAGACACCACACTGGTGGTTCTGCCTGCGGAGAGCACAGGGGAGGCAGGTGGGCATTGACCATAGTACCGCCCTGTTTTCTTGTTCTGGTGGGGACAAGGGGGCATTCAGATGCATCCCTCCACTGAAGGTTCCTAGGAACAAGAATGGTGAGTGCCTGGCTCAGAGATAGGCACCAAGATTATCCATAATGATCCTACACCTTCCTTTATAATACCCTCCCTGACCGCCTGAATTCAGAGTCCAAAAACAAACCCTCCCTTGGGGAGCTATGTCATTGACCTCTCCCACTGCAATTCCCTGCCACTGATGCCCCCGCCCTCCCATTGACCTCTCAAAGTCTATCTCACTGACAGTATACTCTCATCACCCCAATCTGTTTCCACTGAGCCCTCTCAGCCTCAATCCCTTTCCAACCCATTCCCATTGAGCTTTTCAACCTGCTCCCACGGAGCCCCATAAGCCCCTCACAGAACCCCCAAACCACTTCTATTGTTTTCCCCAAGCAACTCCCATTGAAACCCCTAACTCACCTTCACTGACATCTAATACTTTCCCACTGGTTTCCCAGCCCCACCTCCAATGATCCTCAAATCTGCTCCCATTGCTCCTTAACTCTTTTCATTGACTTCTCCAACCCATTCCCACTAAGTTCCATCACCTGATTTCGCTAAGTTCTCCCCCCCCCAGCCACTTCCACCAACTATCCAAACTCCCTCCCATTGAGCTACCCAAACCACTGTTACTACCCCAACCTTTTCCCATTAGTTTTTCCAACAATTCTCCAATCCAATTCCACTGACTGGCTCCCATTAATCCCTCAAACCACTCTTGTTGTTTCCCCTCCCTGCCCCCAACCAAAATTGAATCCCTTAAGGACAGGAATTGTTTGTTTTTAATTATTGTATCCCAGCACCTAGGACAGATCCTGGCACATACTGGTGCTGAATGAATGAATGAATGCCTTCCCACTCTTCCCATTGATTCTCAAGGTACTCTCACTGACTCGGGTTTGGAAGTAGTCCCTTTCTATTGGGGCCATTTCCCAGGGGTCAGTCACTTGTTAAGATGTACCCTGAATTAGATGGGCAGTGTGACCTCTGAAAGGGATTCTGACCTAGTGGAAAGTCCACTGATCTCAAAGTAAGAAGACCATGACTGAATACCCAGTTCTGATAGATATGTTGACATCAGGCAAATCTCTTCACATCTCTGAGCTTCCGTTTCCAAGCGTGGCAAATGGGATTGACGATAATAATACTTACAATACCCACCTCCCAGTGTTGCTGGAAACTGTAAGCCCCATAGAAATGCGAACTATTATGTGAGCTCATTCCTCCCCCACTACCACCATCACCAAGGACAGCTCACATTCTCATCATCCACCTAAGTTCTTTATGCTATCACCTGGCTAGAACTGGTTAGATGGCTGTAGATGGCGGGCTTGTTACTGGTTCCATGTGAATGTGACAGGACTTAATGCTAACATAACCTTCTCTAGCCTAACTCCAGTTGGAGACACAGCTCTGGTCTCTCTCCACCCAATGCTCTGCACCAGTCTTAGGGGGCTATATCTAGTCCTCCTGTTAATTCCCATTCCTTCCCACTTATTGCCACTCCCTAACCACAGGTCACCTCATGTTTTTTTTTCTTTATTTACAGAATTGATTAAAAAATAAACACACAGGCTACAGAGAGTAGGTGAGTATGGTCCTTCTCCCACACCACCCCCAGTTCTAGGCACAGTGGCAAGAGAGGGAGAAAGAATCTGGAGGGAACAGAAATAGGGAGCTACGACAGGAGGAAAAGACAAACGAGAGGAAAGGGCCTGTGGGTGGATGGGTGAGTGTCCAGAAAGGGATGAGGATGGGAGGATTGCTAGGGGCCAGATAAGGGAGGGAGAATGGCTTCATAAATAATGTCAGAGCAGAGGTGTCTGGAGTGCCAAGAGGATGAACCTTAAGAATTGGGAAAGCTAAGGATGGACTAGTGAAAGTTGAAGGTTAGGAGGTGAGGCCCAGACTAGGAGGCAGTTCAAGTCTATCCTTTTGGGAAAGGTTGTGCCTGGAGTAGAGGTAGGGATTAGAAAAAATGTCCTTGACCTGTCCCTCAAATCAGACCCTGGAATGAAGCTGCCAGGGACAGGGCTGAAGGACTGGTAGGGTCCTGTAGTAGGCAGGGTTCATGGTGTCCGGGGTTCTGGTGGCATGAAGCAGGGGCTAGGACTCATCACCTGGCTGGTACTGGGGTTCAGTGGATGTGAAGTAGTCCTCAAGGAAGGATTGCAGGTATTCAAAAGTAGGTCTTTCCTCAGGAGACTGATGCCATGACTGTTGCATGATCTCATATAGAGAAGGTGGGCATCCAGGGGGGCATGGCATTCGATACCCTCGTTCCACCTGTTCCAGCACCTCCCGGCTATTCATACCTGGGAGAGAGAAAAATTGCAAGGCAGAATTTCAATTAGGGAAGGAGAGCCTTCTGTAACTGGTGCCATCCCCTCCCTAAAACTTCAAAAGGTCCAGTGCCCTCCATTATGATGCATTGGGAAAAGGCTTCATTGGCATTGGAAGATCTGGGTTCGTAGCCTGGCACTACTACTGATTACATAGAGTTGACCTGCAAGATCAGAAGGGAGAAATGCAAAGAATACCTAGTGTCCTTTAATGAATTCAAGTCACCTACATCCTCCAGTTCTGAAATAATTGGAAGGTAGGAATACACACCCTACCAGTAGCGTCTGAAAGATCATGGAAAACTGAAGAGGGAGCCCAAGATTGGAGAAGGGCAGATGTTGCCCCAATTTTCAAAAAAGAGAAGAGGACAGAGACTGAAATGATAAGTCAGTGAGCTTCAATTCTTCAGAAAATTCTGGAATGGGTCATTAAAGAGGTGGTTGGTTAACTTCTAGAAAGGGAAGCAGTGATATGAAGAACCAGCAAAGGGATGGAAGGGGAGGGAAGGGAATAAGCATTTATATGGTGCCTACTATGTGTCAGGTATTGTGCTAAGTGCTTTTTATAGGTATTATCTTGTTTGTAGCTTGATCAAAAATAGGCCATACCAAGAAAACAAAAGACAAATGCAAAAAGTACCCTCATTACCTTCATGCCAGTGTTACTAAACCAGAAGATGAGAATGCTGTGAATACATAGTTTACTTAGATTTTAGCAAAGCTTTTGAAAAAAGTATCTCATACTAGGCTAGATGGTAATACAAAGAGATAAATTCCTAATCAGTTGAGGGTTAGATTCAGAGTTGTTGCTAATGGTTTCATGTCAATATAGTGGGAAGGGCTGCTAGGTGGCACAGTACATAGAGTGCTGGGCCTGGAGTCAGGAAGACCTGAGTTCAAATCTGGCCTCAGACCCTTACTATCTGTGTGACCCTGGACAACCCTATTTGCCTCAGTTTCTTTATCTGTCAATGAGCTGGAGAAGGAAATGGCAAACCCAGTCTAGTACCTTTGCCGAGAAAACCCCAAATGGGGTCACAAAGAGTTGAACATGACTGAAAAATGACTAAACAAAAAAAGATGGTAATACAAGATAGATTCAATCAGTGGAGTGGTTAGATTCAGAGTTGTTACTAATGGTCCCATAGCAGGAAGTTTCCAGTGGAGTGTCCCAGGGATCTGTGCTGGGCCCTGCGCTGTTGACCATTTTTATGAATAACTTGCAAAAAGGCATAGATAGCACACCCTCATCAGATATGCAGCTACCATTAACCTGGGAGGGATAGTTAACACACTGGAGAAGTCAAGATCCCAAAAGATTTTGTTAGGCTCGAGTATTAGGCCAAATCTAATATGATGAAATTCTATAAGGATAAATGGAAAGTCTTATACTTGTGTGCCAAAAATCAATTTCCCAGTTTCAGGACTGGGAAAACATGGTTAAACAGCAGTTTGTCTTTAAAAAAAAAAGATCTATGGGTATTAGAAGATTACAGGGTTAAAGTCAAGATGAGTCAACAGTGTGATGCAGCAGCCAGAAAAAAGCTAATGGGATCCTGAGCTGCTTTAAGAGAGGCAGAACTTCCCGAAATAAGAAGGGAGACAGACATCCTCTCCATCCTCCATAACCTTTGGACAGAGGCTGGAATCTTGTTTTAGTTCTGGGCACCATAGTTTAAGAAAGGGGTTGATAAGCTGGAGAGTCAGAAGGAGCACAGCTAGAATGGAGAAAGTCTGTGCAGCCATGTCATCTGAGGACTCAGTGAAGAAACAGGGAATGTTTAGCAAACTGTTCAGCCTCTTTAGACCTCAGCGTTCTCTTGTAGGAAATTGGCAGTGATGGGGGAAGTTAGATTAGATCACATCTAAAGTCCTTTCCAGGTCTGAATCCCATGACACCAGGTCTGAACCTGTCTTAGGGACAGAAGAGAGAACCTTCATCATTCTATACTATGCTTCCTTCTTCCTCATTGCCCACCCCAAAGCCTGTAGGGGCACCTGGGTAGGGGATCCGGCCCTTGGTAATGAGTTCAGTGAGCAAGATCCCGAAAGACCAGACATCAGACTTGATGGTGAACCGGCCAAAGAGTGCAGCCTCTGGAGCAGTCCACTTGATGGGAAACTTGGTACCTTGGAGGGAGAAAAGCAAGAGAGAGTGAAGAAGTCCAAGGGAAGAAAATCCTAGACATTAGAAGCCTCCACAGTGGGAGAATTGGGAGTTTGGAAAAGGGTTCTGAGGGCATTGGCTGAATTCTGGACACCGGGGAACAGGAGGGGGCACCTTGGCGGGGGTTGTATTCATCATCCACAATGAGCCGTGCCAGTCCAAAGTCGGCGATCTTACACACTAGTCTGTCCCCCACGAGGATGTTGGCTGCCCGTAGGTCCCGGTGAATGTAATTCATGCGTTCCATGTATGCCATGCCTGTGGCCACCTGGAATACCAAGCTTTAGCTAAGTTAGGGCTTCACAGGGTATGTACATGTCCCATAAAGGGCCAAGAGGGGACAAAAAAAAACACCAGGAGGAGGGCAGGGGCAAGAATCCAAAGGCTAAAAGCTGATTATACCTTCAACCCCAGTTCCCCCTTACCTGAGCCGCCATGTCTACTAGGTGGGGCAACCTCAGATCTTGACCTTCACCCTCCTTGAGGAATTCCAGCAGACTCCCTAAGGTGAGAAACCAGGCAGGGGTGCTTCAGTTCCACCACCTGAATCCCTGGAGCCTGGCTCCAGCATCCTACATATATGCCCTGCCCACCATGTTCTCCAGCTCACCATGGATCATGTACTCTGTGATGATATAAATGGGCTCTTCAGACACCACGGCGTACAGCTGCACCAGCTTGTCATGACGCAGCCTCTTCATGATCTGGGCCTCCTCCAGGAAGGCTGGTGCAGACATTGTGCCAGGCTTCAGTGTCTTCACTGCCACCTTGATGCAGCCGTTCCAAGTGCCTGGCAACAGGTAATATATAGAAAGTCATCTGGGGAAGAGAGGGTGAGCATAGAGGCAAGCCAGCCTCCAGTCACCTCCCTATCCTCCCCAAAACATTTACGTAAAATGACAGGGTCGGACTAGATAATCTCTCAGGTTCCTACCAGCATAACATTCCATGTTCTATTGAAGAAACAAGGCACTGGGCTAAGAGCTGAAACTACAGTCTAGCCCTGATGTTCTATGTGCTAAGGACTTTCCAGCTCTGACATTCTGTGTTCTAAGGGACCTCCAGCTCTGACATTCTGTGTTCTAAGGTCCCTCCCAAATCTGAAGTTCTATATATTATGGTCCCTCTAAATTCTGACATTTTATGTCCTAACATCTTTTCTAGCTCTGACATTCTCTGTTCTAAAGTCTTTTCTAGCTCTGATTTTCCATGTTCCACACATTGAAGACTGCTCCAGCTTTGACATTTTATGTTCTAAGTTCCTCCCAATTCTGACATGTTATATTTTAAAGTTCCTTCTAGCCCTAACATTCTGTGTTCTAAGGTCCCTCTCAGATCTGACATTTTCTGTTCTGTTCCTTTCCAACTCTGACTTTCTGTGTTCTATGTGCTGAGCACTACATATGCTATATTCTAAGGTCCCTCTGAGCTCTGACATTCTATTACTCTAACCACTTCTCAGTCGTGGGTTCCAACTAAATATCTTCTCTTGCTCACTCCCCACCTCTCCTCCCACCCACTCCCCACACCCAGAACAACCCTCCCCAAGTGGTCTCCACCTCCCCTGAGGACCTTAGAGTTTTCCCTGTTGCCTTCATACCCATCCACACATCCCCAAAGCAGCCCATGCCCAGTTTTCGGTCCAGGATGATGGAGTCTCTGCTGATCTCCCAGGCATCTTTACCCAAGCCTAGGGTTCCTGGTTTCATGATGGCACAAGGCTTCGTGAGTAGGTAGCATAGCCCGTCATTGAATTCTGAAGGATCATAGTATGGAGAAGGAATATGTTGGGGACCCATGCTTCTGAGCCTCCCTCCTATCTGGGAAACTAGGGCAGTTAGCATTCTTTCATTCATACAATAGCCATTGATTAAGTACCTACTATACGCAAGGCTATAAGCCAGACAGTATAAGAGAAAGAGGGACAGCCTTAGAGTAAAAAGACTTCTGACTCATACTGATTGTGCGACCCTGGACAAGTCAATGACCCTTTCAACGATTGAGAAAACTCCCTAAGACCATAAATTGCTAATCTGCATTGGTGGAGATAGTTCCACACCAGGAGTTCTCTATATAAATTAGATCAGAGGTTTAGATCCCCTTCCACCCCTCCCCCCCCAAAAAAGTTCTAGATGGAGAAATTCTAAATTGGTCAGAACTTTGTTGGTCTCTCTGGGTGGGTAGGAGTCCCTCTTCCCCAACCTCCTTACAGTAGTCCTAGCCCTGGTGGACCCTTTCTGAACTCCATCCCATAACCACACCTCACTCACCAGTGTAGTGCTGCACCAACTTTTGGACAGAGTCGAACTGGACCCGTGTGGTGATGTAATACCCGCCATTGTCCAGTTTACGGATCTTGTAATGTTTTACATGGTCCCCCTTATTCTCATCCCAGTCTCGGATAGACAGAGAATAGGCCCCTAGAAGGGTGAGAGCAGGGCAGAGGAGAGAGAAGCTGCTAAGCACTTGCCTTCTAACCCCCATCAGAGAGACAGCCAAGTGGTGATGGGGGTTCCCAGTTGTTTGGTCCCATCCCTTCCACCAAGCCCCCAACCCCTCCCCACACCTCCCACCTTGGGTGGTCTCGCTTTCCCGGATAAGGAAGGTTCCTCGAGGGTTGCTGGGGCTCAGCAGCTGCCTTTCAGCATCCTTCCGACCTATCTTCCCAAAGTACCACCTGGGGAGGAAGGGGAGGCCCACACAGGACCAGGTGAAGAAGGTCCCAGGAGGGATGGTGTACCCTGGAGCAGTCACTGCCTTCAAGGCTGCCACTGACTCAACCAGCAAACCATAAGGACCTAGGATTTAGAACTGGGTTCTGACAGATTTATCAGTTACAGGATTACAGACTCTCAGAAGGAGCCAGGTGCGACTGGTACCTGATGGAAAATGGGTTTGAAGCAGAGGTATCAAACTCAAGGCCCACAGGCAGCTGCACACTCCTGTGAAACTATCAAGTACAGCCAGAAACAGATTAAAACAGAGTTGGGAAATGTCTGACAAAATAAATAAGAATACAATTCAACATAGATGATGTTAATTTGTGGTTTTCTAAGTCAATATGCTGAGTACAGGGATCTCTTTCTATTAGCATCTGATGCTATTGTCCTACAGCATTCCTCAACAAATGACTGTCCATCTAGTCTCCTCTGGACAGAACCTAAGGCTTCCTCATCATCCCATTCCACTTTTGGACAGTTTTTATCAGTTAGGAGATTTTTCTTTCCATCCAGCCTCATTTGCCTCCTAAGGTCACCCAGGACAAGTCCAATCCTCTTTTCCTATGATGGTTCTGCTAATACTTGAAGGTGGCAACCACGCCTTCTCTTCTTAGGCTAAACATCCTCACAGTCCCTTTTGCTGATCTTTTATCTGCCTTCAGTCTTCTCATTCTGGCTGGGGATTGCACTACCTTCTCACTGATCTCACTGAGCTTTCAGATAACTTTTCCTCTCTTTCATTTCAGCCAGGAATAACCATCACCTCCAGGAAACCTTTCTGGATTAACCTCACTCATTGTCCAATTGTGGTCCAATTTGCAGACACGACCTCAAGACCCTTAGGGCCTTGCCATCCACCCTATAGCTTCACTCTAGGACACCTTTTCCATGTGCCCTGAAGTGGAACTTTCTTTGCATGTGTTGTCTCCTGCAATTAGAGTGTTAGTGGCTTGAACACTGGGAAATGTCTAGTTTTTTTCTATTTGCATCTCCAGTGCTTAGCATAGATCTTGGCATATAATAAACACTTAATAAATGCTCTTTTATTTCTTCATTCATTCGTTCATCCCTTGACACTCCCAAGACACTGCTATGTTTTAAATTTCTGTACTGTCTCCTCCATCAGACAGGAAGTGCCACGTCTCCCCCGATCCCTAAGAGCTGGGTTACACTCTCTGTTCTCCGCTTGTCAAGGTCCTTTCTAAAATATGGATTCCAGAGCAGAACAGAACAAAACGTTCCTGACTGAGACCAAGTCCAGCAGCCCTGAACCTCTTTCCTGCTGGACACTCCCTTGATGCAGCCTGAAGTCGCTTTAGTCTTTTTGCCAGACAGCTCTCTCTCATTGGGTTTACAGTTCACCACCCCTCCTCTACAATCTTCTGGGGCAGAGATGGGGAGGTTGAAGTAACACATACACAAGTGAGTATAAAGTATATTCAAAATAATTTCAAAAGGGAGAGAGAACTCTTAACTGGGGAGGCAGGGAGATGGGAAGGGGATTAGGAAAAGATCTATGTAGGAAGTGCAACCTGAGCTATGCTTTGAATGGAGGTTGGAGGCAGAGTGCATTATACCAAGGTGAGAGATGGAGCAGCCAGAGGGTCAGTTTGGACGGAACAGAGAAGGGGTGAAGGGCTTTCTTCCACCAGCAAGATACTATGGTGCCAATTCCATGGCTCCAGCTGGCCCCGCTGTGTAGATGATTCCCGGAATCCCCACATCTCCACAGGCTTGCTGAAAGTCCCCACTGGCCATCCCCATTGTCCCATCAGACTCAGCATGTCCAAAACTGAACTTCTCACCTTCTGTCTGATAATCGCTCCCCCTCCTGATATTCCTGTTCTACCAATGGTCTCCCCGCCTCCCAAATCACCCAGCTTCAAAACCTCAGTCTGTATGAAATATCTCTATTTCACCCTTTCCTTCATCCCCCATTAGATTGTAAGCTTCCTGAGGGCAGGAACTATCTTTTGCTTCTTTTTGTATCTCCAGTACTTAGCACGGTGCCTGGCACATGATGTTGTTGTTCAGTTGCTTCAGTTGTGTCAGACTCTTTGTGACCCTGCTTGGGGTTTTCTCGGCAAAAATACCAGAATGCTTTGCCATTGCCTTCTCCAGCTCATTTTACAGAGGAGGAAACTGGGGCAAAAAGGGGGAAGTGACTTGCCCAGGGTCACACAGTTAGTCAGTGTCTGCAGCCAGATTTGAACTCAGAAAGATGAGTCTTCCTGACTCCAGGCCTGGTGCTCTATCCACTGCACCACCCAGCTGCTCCCCCCTGGCACATAGTAGGTGCTTAATAAATGTTTGTCTATCGATGGGTCCTATGACAACACCAGGCCCTGCTGAATCTTCCTTGCTAAGTTTCTCCAGTCTATCCCCTGCTGTCCTCTCTGTTCCCACGGTGACCATTGTAGTTCAAGCTCTCATCATCTCTTGCCTAGCCTGCAGTAATAGCTTCTTAAGTGCCTTCAGTCTTTCTTCCCTTGAATCTATCAGGCAGAACAGGCTGTCTCAGTAATTTCTTCCTATGCAGCTCTGATGGCATCACTCTCCACTCAGACACCTTCAGTGGCTCCTTACTGACTGAGGTGTATACTCTCACCTTCGAGGCCCTCCCCAATCTGGTCTGCCCCTGCCTTTGCAGCCAAGCTCCCTCCAAACGTACCCAGTGCTCCAGACAAAACAGATTACTCACCGCTCCCTGAGCATTTGAGATGCTTCCCTTCCCTTCCTTCCCCATCCAGAATGTTTTCCTCCAACTATCTAAACCCTTCAGGTTTAGGATTCAGCTCATGTGCCACATTTTCTGTGAAGCTTTGCCTGGCCTCCTTCCCCCATTGCCAGCCCTCTCTCCACTCCCATGCAACAATATCTCTCCTTCTGGATTGTAATACCACTTACTGTCTGTATGAAGGGACTGCATATGACCCAATCATCTGTTTGTTAGTATTGTTCATTTTCATAGAATGTCAGAGCTGGGAGGGGCCTTAGAGCACAGAATGTCAGAGCTGGGAGGGCTCTGAGAACACAGAATGTCAGAGCTGGGAGGGCCCTTAGAACACAGGATGTCAGAGCTGGGAGGGCTCTTAGAACACCGAATGTCAAAGCTGGCATGGATTTTAGAACACAGAATGTCAGAGCTGGTATGGACCTTAGAACACAAAATATAAGAACTGGGAGTGCAGAGAAAGGTGGAGAACATAATGTCAGAGCTGGGAAGGACCTGAGTACATAGGGATTATAGATGTCATTTAAAAAAATGTGTCTTGTCTCCCCAGCTAGATGGAAAGTTTCTTGGGTGCAGGGACAATATGCCATCTCTGTTCTCCTAAGCACAGATTCCTCCTCCCCCTGTTTCATCCAGGGCAATAAGGAAGGACAAGGAAGCTGGGAAGTCCCAAAGAGCAGAGACTTCCTGGTCCCTCTTGTCTCATCTTTAGGACCTGGATTAAAGTCAGAGCACTGCAGCCCTGACCCTGACTCACTCTTCCGCCTGGATGGAGTTCACAGGAGCCACATAGTTGCTAGGGATGTATCCGGTGCGTCCAGAGCTCAGGGATCTGGCCTCCCACCAGTCGCCCTCACTGCAAGGACAGATGGAAGGGCGGGATGAGCAGCTGTCCCACTCTGCTCGCTCTCCAGGCAAGAGAAATGGGGCACCAGCCTGGCAGCATCCGCCTGAGATAGTAACCCCCAGGGGATGCTGAATGATAGTCCGAGCATCCGACCAGCTGGGGTCCTTGAGTCTCCCCACCCCTGCCCTGCTCTACCTAAGATAATAATCATGGTTGCTGGGGGAATCTCTCTCCCCCCAGAAAAGCCAGGGCCCACAGGTCACTCACGTGTTGTTGAGGATGTGGAATTTTTCTCCTTTTGTGAAGGTGAGGTCATCCTCAGTCCTGGCATCATATCCATAAAGGGCAATGAAAAGAGTTACTCCAGCCCCTGCAGGGAGAGGGGGCAGCTGGCTAAGTGTGGTCAGGCCTCCGTGACCATACCAGGCATATAGCAGTTTGCCCCTTCTGCTCAGGAACGCAAAGATTCCCCAAAGCCTCCAGCTCCTTAGCCACCTGCCCTCACCTGCTCCTCTCTCCTTATTTTCCCAACCCCCAAATTCTTTAGTTCTCATTCCTTATTCCAGCTAGGCAAGCCTGTTCTCCCTTCTGTCCCTCCTGCTTGGACATCTCCCCTCCTCTCTACCCTGTGCCCTGTGCCCGATGAACAACCTCCCCCACCCCCAGCATAGTGGTGACCCTTCCCCACTCCACCCTTTTGCTCTAGCATATTGTCTACTCCGGTCTCCTCTTAGATGAGAGACTCCCAGAGTTTTCCCCCTCACATCACTGGTTCTCTGAAGCCAGAATCATGCCTCCCTTCTTAGAAGGGGCAGGAGTGGGGATGGGGTGTGAGACTGGCTTTCTATTTTCAGACTGGGGGCTTCCTGAAGGCAGGAGCCATGTCTCCTTCTTTAGGTCACAGGAAAGTACCCTATCTCCCTCCACCTCTGGGTCTCACCCCAAGCCATAGGCTCTGCCCACGGGAGTCCAGGTCAGGGGAGGAGGTCTGGGTTGACTTTAACACCAGGTGATGTTTGGCACCTAAATATGAGGTTTCTAGGGTTTTGTGGCTGACCCTACCTCCCCACTGGTACCTCCTGCCCTCCCTAACCCCCCAAGCACTGACCTGCCATGCCTCCAGGCTTTGAGGAAATAGGATTCAGGAAGGGTGGCATGCTGACTTGTTGGGAGAAATTATTGAGGTTGGGGTTGTGGCGGGGGGAAGGGGAGATAACCCTGGTGGGCTCAGGACTATAGCGGTCCCCATGGCCTTGATTTCCTCTAGCATTGTCCTCACTGAAGGCCTCAAGCTTGGCATCTGATCCTGCCTTCTCCTTACAGGGCACACAGCCCATTGTGGGAGCCTGTGGAGGGTGGAGAGGCAGGATGAGAGGGAGTGAGACACTTGCCTGTCTCCTTGTGCATCCCCTACACCTGCAGAGGCTCCCTGTTCCCTGGGCTAGCTGTACGTGTAATAAGGCTAGGACTAGGAGCCCTCCGCAATGTACAAGAGACAGAATTCTGCCTTGGTGGCCTGGCTCCCAGTATAAAAATGATGATGATGATAATAATCATTATTATAATAATTCAGCCTTAGAGAGTTGCTTGGGGTACTAGGAAAGTAGAGTGACTTGCCCAGGGACACACAGTATGTATGTATCAGAAGTGGGACTATACAGAACGCAGGTCTTCATTACTAAAAGGCCAACTCCCTATCCACTCCCCCACACTGCTTCAAATAATAATTTATTTGTGAATATAATTATTAAGAGGTACCCTGGCATAATGGGAAGCCAGGGAGACCTGGGTTTGAATCCTGTCTCTGAAACATACTGACTGGTTATGTGACCCTAAACAAGTCACTTGACCTCTCAGTTCTATAGGTAACTCTCTAAGACTCTAAATAGTAAAGAAACTGATCTGCATTGGTGGAGGAAATTTCCTCCTCTAGAAGTCCCCCACACCAGTGAAATCACAGCTATCCAATACTAATTACATATACATATATACATGTGTCATGTTATCTGTTTCAATATTACACAGATCCAATTATAATAATTTTCAATTCAATTCAATAAATATTTATTAAGCACCTACTATGTGCCAGGTACTGTGCTAAGCCCTGGGGGTACAAAAAGAGGCAAAAGACAATCCCTGCCCTTGAGGAGCTTACATTCTAGTGGGGAGAGGGAACAGACAACAGGCAAGCAAACATATACAAAACTAGCCATATACAGGATTGTTGTTTGTCCTTCGTTCTCAAAGAGGACCAATGATATCACGGGGTGATGTCTTGACTTGCACGTGAATTGGATTTAAGTGAGGCACAGCTGAGCAAAATCAGCCTCACTCTTTCCTTCAGAGTCACTGGAGTCCAGTGGCAAGACAAAAGTTGGCCATGGCCATATGTAGGATAAATAGGAAAAAAATTAATTCGGGGAATAATAATGACTATTATTGACAAATACACAAAGACCACTCCTGGGAACCAGGATATATTCATATGAATTTGAGCATGGGGAAGCTTTGAAGTCAGGAAGATTTGGGTAAAAACCCTGCCTCTAACCCATACTAACTATGTGACCCTGGACAAGTCACTTAACCTCTAAATGTGTCCAGTCAACTCTCCAAGACTATAAGTTACAGATAAGTAGAAGGAGTTTCCACAATGGGATTTTCCCATGATGAGAAAAGAATGAGTCTGGACTAATAATAATCACCACCATTTACATGGTATGTTAGTTTACAAAGGGTTTTGCATATATTATATGGTCAGGAAGATGGGCATTCAAATCTGGCCTTAGATACTGACTAGCTGTGTGACCCTGGGAAAGTCACTTAACCAGTTTGTCTCAGTTTCCTCATCAGTAAAATGGGGATAATAACAGTACCTACATCCCACCCGGTTGTTACAAGGATCAAATAAGATAATAATTGTAAAGTGCTTATTGCAGTGGCTGGCACATAGGAGGAACTATATAAATGTTAATTATTATTATTATCATTATATCATGATCTCATGGAATCCTCACAACAACACTGGGAGGTGGGGAGGATCTCCCATCTCCACCGTTTATCAAGACAAGTACACTGGACAATGTTCTTTGCATTAGAAAGGCAGCTCCTCCGGAATGCGTTTTGCCTTTGAATCCCCAGGGTTCAGTAAAGCTTCGTTATTATCCCTATTTTACACCTGAGGAGACTGAGAAAGGTGAAGTAACTTCCTTACCCAGGGTTACACAGCTGGTAAGAGTCTGAGGCGGGATCTGAACTCGGGGCTTTCTACCTCAAATTCACTGCATTGTACTGTGCTGCCTAGTTGCCCAACCTCCAAGGACCCATGATTCCTTTGGTGTAGTTACTCCCCTCTTACAGATTCCTAACCCCGGAATCCGGAGCCTGTATTTAATAAATTGCAGCAGTTGAAAAAGTTCCATCCCCAGTGGTCAGCCTTTCCTGTGATGACCCTCTCCAAACTTGGCTGGGCTGGTCCCCAGACACGGTATTTTCCAGGGCTCCTAACCTAAGTACTTCCAGCTGGGCAGGCCCAGCCAGAGCCTGTGTTCTCTCCCCACTCCCTCCAAGACCTCAGAATGACCACCACACCCTGGCAAGGCATCTGAGGAAGACTTCAGCGAGCAACAATCACTAAGAGACTCAGAGACTGATCTCTTCGGTGCTGGCCCACTCATCCACCCTTCCTCCGAAACATTCCCTTTCAGGCTTAGCACATGGCCTGGGAGTTTCATGGCCCTTGGTGAGCTCTCTGAACTTAGCAGGGCTCGCTCTGGATGACAATCCCAGACCGCTAGAATCTCCCTGAAAAAGCTCTGTCAGGGTCGGAAGATGTGCCTCAGTTTTCTCCTCTGTTAAATGGGGAGGGGGGAGGACTAAATGGTCTCTGAGGTCCCTCCTAGCTTTAGATCTAGAATCCTCTGGTAGTGGGAAGAGAATAATAACAGCATTAAGATCTTTGGGAGAGTTGAGTGTGTCTTCCTCTGTGTGAGAGTCTTGGTGTATTAGAGCGTGGCGAAGAGAAGCCAGGAATCCGGAGACCCAAGTTCTAATCTGGTCTCTGCTGCTGGCTTGCTGTGCAACCTCGGACAAGTTGCTTCCCTTGTCTGGACCTCAGTTTTTCCCCTCTGCCAAATGAGGACATTTGGATGAGAAGGATTCTGAGGTCCCTTCCAGCCCTGCCATTCTGAGTTTCCATATCTTTGTTTATTCGCCTGTGGGTCTTCTCAGCTATGTGTGTGTATCTCCATTTCTGTGTGTGTGTGTGTGTGTGTGTGCCTTTGTGGGGGGGGCCCATAGAGTGGAGGAGGAGGGAGAATCCCAGGGGGGAGGAAGATCAAGGCCAGTTCCCTGTCTGTCCTGCTTCTAGGCTGTCAAACTAGCTCTTTTCCACTCTCTATCCCCCCCTTCCATTGGTTGCCAGGCAACCATAGTCTGTGTGAGAGGAAGGGGGTTGCAGGGAGGGCTTGAGACACTGGCAGGGGGTTGGAGTGTGTGTGTGGGGGGGTGGAAGCATCTGGGAAGCCCCCCAAATGAATCCCCTGAGGCTGAGTCCTCTGCTTCCTCCCCTGATCCTTCCTGCCCTCCCCCACCTCCCCTCTCTTTACTCACACAGATACTTACCTTCAGGTCCTGAGCCACTAAGGTCAGTGGAATAACAGCACGTTCTGAATGGAATGGCCAGATCCCTGAGGGACAGACAAACAGGAGATGGAGGATATGACAGCCTGGAGTTCCCTGCTCCAAGACTCTGACCCCTCCAAACCAATGCTATTCTCATTCCTTTCTTGGGGGACTTAGGGAGGGGAGAAGTTCCTCCTGCTATACTAAAATTCAGAACTCCTGGAGTGTGAGAGGCATCTGCCTTCCATTTCCTTCCAGCTTATACCTCTCACATAGCCTCTCACAGCACCTAGCACACACATGCACACTTGCACACACATATAAATCGAGTTCTAACGAGCTGTGGTCCTATATATGCGAACACACAGAGATTCTCACATATCCTTAGGCACTGGAAAATTGGTTTTGAGGGTCTCTGCTCTGGTCTTGGACGGCTCTCTCTCTGCCCTCCCCATATCCTGTTGAACAATGACACCCCCCCCACAGCTCCAGCCATGGCCCAGGCCCTTTGGGGGACAGTTCTAGCTGGGGGCTGGGGACATTGGTGGGGGAGGGGAGGAATGACATGCTCTGGTAGTGGGAAGAGAATAATAACAGCATTAAGATCTTTGGGAGAGCTGAGCGTGTGTCCCTCTGTGTGAGAGTCTTGGTGTATTAAAGCGTGGCGAAGAGAAGCCAGGAACCCGGAGACCCAAGTTCTAATCTGGTCTCTGCTGCTGAGACTCTACAATTTGATGTTAACAAATAAAATTAGGAGCTGGGCAGTACCTAAAAGATCATCCAATCCAATCCCCTCATCTTACCAGAGACTGAGACCCAGGCAGAAATGATTTGCCCAAGGTTACACAGGGTAGGGGGGGTCAAACCCAAGTCCTGTGACTCTAAATTCAGTGCTTTTACTACTATGCAATAAGATTGTATGTGTCTGTGTCATTATTTAACTAGAGATTATCTTGTCCCCTCCCCCCCTTCTTACCCTCCCCTTGGGAATGGCTCTGGTAGGAGAGGAGTGGGATGCAGAGATCCTAGGGTCCCTCTTAACACCCCAACATTCCCATCAAGCCTTTTCTTGAAGCTAAGAAAGTAGCTTTGGCCTTGTGGTAAATTAAGCAAGGCATCCTTCATCCGGAAACTCTCATTGCAACAGGGGGGTGACTGGAGGAGGGGAAGCCAAGCTCAGGGACAAGGAAGGCTCAGATGCAGAGTGAGAATGGCCTGGGCCCTGGGGAATCATGGGATTGGTCAGAGGGTCAATTGATTCCAGAGAGGCCCAGGACAATGGCGTCCACCAGGATTCTCGGGCACAGATTGCCCATCCCATCTCCCTCCTCCCTGGGTACTCTTGGGTTCAGGTTCCCTAGTGATAATAAGGGCTCCCATCTCTAAAGTCCTATAGGGTTTACAAAGCGATTTCCTCACAGTGACACTGGGGCGGAGATGTGGGGGATGGAGGAGGATGTGTGTTCACGGGGAAGTTGGTAGTTGTTCATTTTACAGATGAGAAAACCAAGGCTCAGAGGAATATTGGGATTCAAAACCAGATCTTTTCACTGTCTTTCCCCAATATCACACCACCTCAAACTAAACTCCAAGATCGGTCTGAGGTTATTCAGCTGACTGGGGACTGGGGTCAAAGCCAGGACTCGAACCTGAATCTCCTTGGCTCCCGTTCTTCCTGCCCGCCAGGTCTATCCCCATGCCCCAGCTTTCTGGCCCACTCTCCTCCCCTTGCAGGCGCAGAGCCTTCACTCTGAGCAGTCCCTGAGCTGACTGGTTTTCCTCATCTTCCTCCCTGAACCCTCCTCGGGTTACTCCCTTCTTTTCGAGGGGTCTTCATTCCCACCTTCTGCACGTCTCTGTCTTGATTCATGGCCAGCCAAGTATGTGAGAAGAGCCGGCTTCATCCTGCCTGTGAGTTAGGAGGCAGGCCAAGGCCCCCATCTGCCCATCGATATCTCCCTCACAGTCTTGCCTGAAATTCCTCCCTACTTTCTGAAGGCCCCTGAGCTTAATATTATACCATGGCTATTCCTGTCACTAGGAGACTTGGATTCAAATTCTACCTCTGAAATTTGCTAAGTGTGTGATCATGGTCAAGGCTCTAAACCTTGGTGTTCTCACCTGTAAAATGGGAACCATAATATCTATAGTCCGTTTTGTGAGTCTAAAATAAGACATTAGACATAAAGTACTTTGCAAACTTTAAATGGCTGTACAAACATCTGTTATTTATATTCCGATTTTATAGATGAGGAAATTGAGACTCTGCAAAGTGAAAAGATTTGCCTGGGGTCATACAGCTGGTAAGTGGTAGATACAGGATAATAAATATATTACATGTAACAATATACAGAGCAACATGATACAATATGATATACAAGTACATAATAAAAATAATAGCCTAATTATTATAGCACCATGCCTAGCCAATAATAATAATAGCATTTGCTCGATACCTCAAGGTTTACAAAGAACTTTACAAAAATTATCTCATTTGATTCTCAATACAAATCTGGGAGGTAAGTGCTGTAATTATTTCCATTTTACAGATGAGGAAAGTGAAGTAGACAGAGTTAAGTGACTAGCTTATGGTCACACAGCTAGTAAGTGTCTGAGACTTTCTACCTATAAGGGAGGTAGGTGTTATTATCTGCCTTTGACAGATGAGGCAACTGAGGTAAAACAGAGGTTAAGTGACTTGCCCAGGGTCACACAGTTAGTGTCTGAGATTGAATTTGAGCTCAGGTCTTCCTGAGTCCAGGTCCAACTCTCTATCTACTTCATCACCTAGCTGTCTTTATCTAAACCCAGGCCCAGCATTGTCTCCACTTCAGCATGCCGCCACGTGAGATGTTAGAACCTCAGCTACCATCCACAGGGCTCACTGTTTACCCCACCCTCATCAGTGTGGGAAGTGCCCCACATTTGGAAGCATTCCCAGGCTCAGGATGGAAAGCCAGAGTCTTCCTGTAGGTATCGGTTCTTGGGGGCTCAGAGAGATGCTCAGCACTGCAGGCCTCTTTTCTTCCCCTCCTTTTGCCCAAGCAAGGCTCAGGGAAACAGGTTAATCCAGATGCGCCATCCTTTAGTGGGCTCCCACTCCCCGCATTTCATCTGTGTTCACTGTTAGGCTCTAGAAGGAGCCAGGCTGCTCCTGTCTGCATTGCACCTAGTGCCACCCACCACCCTCCACCTGTCCACACTACTTTCAGCAATGCCACACTGTACCTGTCTCTATTTCAATGTTGGTGTTGTGCCTAGCTAGGTCACAGTGTACCTGTGTAAACTTCTTGGAGACTGTCTGTATGGCATACACACCTACCCACCATCATGGTGGCCCCTCAGATACCTGGGCACTAAAGCAAGGCATAACCTTGACCTTTCCTACCAAAGCATCTGCCCCGATTCCAGCTGTCCCTTAAGGGAGATGGTGAAGGACAAATGGGCTGGGATCAGGGCTGCACAAAAAGAATTCTATCCTGGAAGGTGGGGCCTGTCTTAAGGGATTCTGGGAAGTGGAGAAGCCTGCTGCTTGGATACTTCTTTTTTTTTTCCTTTTTAGGCAATTGGGCTTAAGTGACTTGCCTAGGGTCACACAGCTAATAAGTGTCAAGTGTTTGTCTGAGGCCAGATTTGAACTCAGGTCCTCCTGACTTCAGGGCCAGTGCTCTATCCATTGTGCCACCTAGCTGTCCCTGCTTGGATGCTTTTAAAGGGGCTGGTGCATCCCCACCAAGAGGCCAAACTGGAAGACTGGGTTGAGAGCCAAGGAAAGCTCTAAGAGGGTGATGGAGAAAGTGAAGCTCAGCTGGGCTAGTGGGGATGAGAGAAAGATGCATCTAGGGCTTTCAGAATCTCACCAAAAAGGAACCACATCTGGGGTTGGGAGAAGTGGAGAAATAGGAGGCTTCCGGCTCAGCTCCTCAGCTCCCCACCTAGAATATCTGACCCAAGGTGGGGGGAGGCACTTCACTGGTGCTGGGCAACAGGCAAAAAGAAACATTACAGACCTCATTCTCCCCTTCTTCCTCAGCTCCTGGGCTTCTGGGGGAGGAGCTCATGTTAGCCCCAAAACTCAGGAGTCCTGAACCCCAGTCTCAGAACTGCAACATTAACCCACACTCCCTCCAATCTTAAAGTAGCTGCCGATGCCTCAAACTGCCTATGGAAACCATCCACTTAGCCCCTAACCCAGCCAAGTACTTCAGAGCATATCCTGGGCCCAGACAAGAAATCAGACCCCTACCTGGGGTCAGTCAGTCAATAAATATTTATTAAGCACCTACCAAATGCCAGGAGGGGCAGTTCGGTGGTACAGTAGATAAAGTGCCAGGATTGGAGTCAGGAAGACTCATCTTCCTGAGTTCAAATCTGACCTCAGACACTTACTAGCTATGTGACCCTGGGCAAGTCACTTAACCCTGTTTACCTCAGTTTTTTCATCTGTAAAAATGAGCTAGGTAAGGAAATGGCAAGCCACTCCAGTATCATTGCCAAGAAAACCTCAAATGGAGTCATGAAAAGTCAGACACAACTGAAATGACCAAACAATAAACTACATGCCTGGCACAGAGCTAAGCACTGGGGATGCTGGCAAAAGAATCCCTTCCCTCAAGGAGCTTACAGTCTAACGGGGGAGACAACGTGCAAACAACAGTACACAAACAAGTGATATTCAGGATAAATTGGAAACAATCAACAGAGGCAGTACGGAGGGGATATGAAGGTAACATTTCTTTGTTACAGAAGTTCTTAACCTTTTCTGTGCCACCCAGCAAAGGGACCTGAAGTCACTGAATCTGGGCAGTGGGTCACTGAAGAAAGGTCAGGATGAAAAAGTGAGTCTCCTTCATCTCTCCCCTCTCCTTTTCTTTTGGGTCTCACCCAACCCTAACCCCACCTCACCTGCTCTTCTTCCTGGGAATTAACTAAGCAATGCTCAAAGACACCAGGGCTGTGCTGGGGAGAAACTCATGACACATTTTCCCCTATCTTATTACAGAGCCCCCATCTTTTCACTAAGTTCTCATACATCTCACTGAGTTTTCATCTCCATCACTGATCC